TGTGTGTTGAAAGTAAATGGCATAAATGGACTATTATATACATTGGTAGAGTTTAAGATTTTATTATTTTGGAGACAGCTTCAAATGTCCTAAAATCTCTCAAAAGAGAGTTATAAAATGAAAATCCAGTCAGTGAATATGTTTTAAAGAAAAGGAAATAGAAGTCAGTTTGTTAGGGCTGGAGAGATGGCTCAGCAGTCAAGAATGGTTTCTGCTTTCTTTTTTTTAAATGAGTGTTTTGCATGTATGTATATGTATATCATGTGCGTGTCTGGTGTCCATAGAGGCCAGATGAATGTGTGGGATCCCCCGGAACTAGAATTATGGACAGGTATAAGTCTGAACCCAGACTTATACAGGTATAAGTCTGAACCCTGGGAACTGAACCCAGGTCTTCTGTAAGAATAGCCAGTGCTTTTAACTGCTGAGCCATCTCTCCAGCCCTGCAATGTATAATCTGCTAATTATTAGTATCAGTCATGTTAACAGTTTGAGTTAGATGATCCCACTTTGTATTATATAACTTAGAAATTAGTCTAAGATTTTGGCCATACTATCCAATGTTGGTGTCTGAGAAGCTTCTTTTCCCAAGTGATGGGAATGAAAGCTGACAGGACTCCTGTGAAGGGTTTTGCTGGACTTTCTGAGAGCCTCGAGTGTTCATACCTTCTGGCGTGGCATTTTACTCCTGTTAATTCATCCCAAAGCAACCTGGGAGTGGCACGAGGTTCAGCTGCAAGGCAAGCTCTTCCATTGCTGTCACTGACTGCAGATCGCCTGCAGAGCCGACAGTAGAGGATGAGTGGTTGCATGGTGAGCCTTGTCATGGGTTGTGACTGGCTCTGTCTTGAAAGGATGTATGGATTAACATCAGAACAAGATCCAGGATGGAAGTGCTGCCTGTGCATTTGCTGTTACTGTACTGTTGCTAACATGGTGTTAAATATGAACCACTGTTAGGAAGAATTGCTTGTGATTAAGTGAGAATGGTTTCACAGAGATGCAAAACAGTACTGCAGTGTGGAGATGAGGCTCTGGTGCCAGCTCTGCTGCCTACATACAATAAAAATAAGCAAAATTTATAAAAATTCAAATTGATAAGACACCACCCCAGACTTAAATGAGAAATTCTGGGGTGAAACAAATCTGTGTTTTAACAAGCCCTGTGGGCATCTTAGATGCACATTCAAGGTTGGAAAGTACATAAGAAAATAAGGGTGCAAGGCCAGTGGCACTGTGGCTGCCAGCTGCAGTCTCAGCTATCAGGAGGCTGAGGTGAGAGGACCACTTGAACTAAAGAGTTCAAGACAAGCTTGGGGCAAGATCGTGAGATCTTTTTTCAAATATACAGTGCATAATCAGAATTATCTAAAGAGAAAATACTTTCAAAGGAGACTTTGAAATTACCATTGGAAAATTCCACAATTGTCAAATTTATCAATTGATATCTAACTGGTAACATCCTTGTACAAACAGAACATGCTAGAATAAACAGTATCCCTGTTTTTGTCTGTTAGAGAAATTCCAGGTAATGATACATTATCAGAAAAAGCACAGCATCCTAAAAGTCTAGGCTATATATTAGCAAATACATTATCTATAACTTAGATATGGAAAATGTAGATATATTTTTACTACAACTGGGTGTAACCTCAAAAATTACTGAAAATTTCTAAACTGAATGCAAGGACCCAGTCTTGCATTCTGTCAAAACAAAGCTGCCCTTCATGGATGAATTCTTTTTAATGCTCTGGCTCTTATTTTCCAGATATACAGCCTAGGAACAAACATTGGACTAAAGAAGCCATAGCAAGGTTCCAGACATGTGTTGTGGGGATCAAACTCCAAGCCAGAGTTGTCGAAATCACTGAAAAAGGGGTGGGAGTTGAACTCACTGATCTTTCCACTCCATATCCCAAAATAATTAGTGATGTCCTCATCAGTGAACATCTGGTTTTAAAATCTAGTTCACCACAGAAGGACTTGGCAGGTAGCATATCTGTTAATAAATATAATCAGATCGACACCCAGCAAGTACAAGGTAACTTTTAAACCACTTGTTAATTAGGGTTTGTTTTTTTTACTGAACTTCCATAGTACAGAACAACACTGGGTTTCATTATGGGATTTTAATACATATATTATCATTGTACTTTCTCTTATTTGCCCACTCCTGCCCTCCCCCATCCCTGCTCTTCCTCCTCTCCCTCTTACTGGTCCTCTTCCTCCCCACAAATGGCTCCCTTTGTGCTTTGCTGTCTCATGTGCGTGTATTTATAGTTAAATGTTGATTCTGCATATGAGAGGAAATGTGGTATTGCCATTCCATTCTTCCCCAGTACCTTCTTTCTCTTGTCCACCCTCTCCGCTCTTTAGACTTCTCTCTCCTCAGAGTCCCCTTTCTTTCATCCCGTGTGTGTGTGTGTGTGTGTGTGTGTGTGTGTGTGTGTGTGTGTGTGTGTGTGTGTGTGTGTGTGTGTGTGTGTGTGCGGGGGGAGAGAATAAATTTCACATATGGGAAGAATTGTATTTTTCTGAGCCTGGCTTATTTTATTTAACACAGTAATTTCCAGTTCCATCTATTTTCTACAAATGATATAATTTCACTTTTCATTTGAATAAATTCCGTCATGTGTGTATATACCACAGTTGCATCTATTCAGCTGCATCTGAACAGATGCAGGCGAACATCTAGGCTGGTTCCATGTCTTGGCTACTCTGGGTGCCCAGTTGGTTCCATAACTTAGCTGTTGCTATGTAATGCAAAGAACATTGGTGTGCGAGTATCTCTGATATGTTGACTGGAATCCTTTGGCTCTATGTCCTAGAGTGGTATAGTTGTGCTATAGCTGGATTGTATGGCAAGTCTAGTTTAGCTTTTTGAAGAACCTCCATATTGAGTTCCCTAGTGGCTGCAGCAGTCTTCATTTCAGCAACAGTGTGTGAGTTCCTCTCCCTCGTGTCTCCATCTTTGTTTCCTTGACTGATGAGATGGCTCCTTAAAGCAATTGTAATTTGCATTTCCCTGATGACTGAGAACATTGAACATTAAAAAAAATTATTGACTATTTGTATTTCTTTTTTTGTTTTTGTTTTTTGAGACGGGTCTCCCTATAGTTCCAGCTGGCCTGGAACTCACTATGTAGACCAGGCTGGCAGAGATCTGCCTGCCTATGCCTCCCAAGTTTATTTCTTCTTTTGAGAATGGTCCATTCAATTTTATTAGGTTACATATTGATTGGACAATATGGGGTATTCTAATTTTTGGAATCCTTTATGGATTCTAGGATATTAATCTCTTGTCAGATGAATAGTTAAGATTTTCATCTTTAGGCTGTCTCTTCATTCTGCTGATGAGTTTCTTTTTTCTGTGCAGAAACTTCCTAATTTTATGTAATCCCATGCATCAATATTTGGGATTATTTCTTGTGCTAATGGAGTTCTTTCCTATGTATCTTCAAATGTTTTCCCCAGCTATTTCAGATCTTATATCAAGATCTTTAATGTTTGAGTTGATTTTGTGCCGGGTGAGGGACAGGGATCTAATTTCCTCCTTCTGCACATGGCGTCTAGTTTCCTCAGCTGTCTTTTCTCCAGTGTATGTTTCTAACACCTTTCTCAAAGAATGGTTGGCTGTAGCTATGTGGTTTTATTTTGGGTTCTCCCATCCATTGGTCTACAAGCCTGTTTTTGTACCAGTACCTTGCTGATGTGCCATCATGGTTGTGTGATGTGATTTGACCTCTAGTGTTGGGTACTTTGGGCATTGCCCTTTCTGCATAGGATTGCTTTGGTTATTTGGCATGTTTTGGGCTTCCATATAAGTTTTAGAATTGTTTAGTTCTGTGAAGAATGTTTTTTGTAATTTTGATGGGGATTGTGTTGAAATTAGAATGCTTTCTATAATGTAAGTCACCCACAGTATTAATACTGCTAATCCATGAGCGTGTGAGGAGCTGACCTCCTCCTCATATAAGTGAGCTTGAACTGAAGCTATTTCAGCTATATTAAAAGATTTAGTGATCAATAATCATAGTTCTTAATTTAAAATCTTGTGTGTATGTAATGTTGTATTGGATACTTTTCTTGTCTCTCACTATAACTAGACCCAACAAAATGCAAATTAAGGGTTTATTTTGACTCATGGTTTGAAGGATACAGTCCACCATGCTACATAGGGAAGGCATGGTGGCAGGAATGTGAGGTGACTGGTCAAATTATGGTCATAGTTGGGAAGAAGAGAGAGATAAATACTGGTGTTCAGCTGGTCTCGTTTGTTCTTTTTATTCAGTCTGTAACCCCAGCCCCTGGGACATTGCCACCTGTATTCAGGGTGGGTCTTTTCCTCAGTTAAACCTTTCTAGAATGATGGGCTTTTTAAAAAAATTTAATAACTACATGATTAGAAGAAGCATTTCATTACAGCTTTAACATATTCAGTAACACACTCCAGAGCAAGAGTGTACATCTCTTTCACAAGTGGCTGTAAGTTTCTAGGATCATGGACATGATCTCTTAAAAAGAGTAAACATAAATTTTTTCTTGAGAATGTTGGGATGTTGATGAACAAACTTAGTGAATACGTTACTGGGAAAGAAGAATAAAATTTATTTAATTGCAAGACCTGTGTTTCGTATGTTTTTAGCCATCGTGCCAGCAGAGCAATGGAAGACAATAGAATTGCCAATTAACAAGACTGTGCCAGCAAGCATATTAGAAATAATAAACCCTAACTTGTTTTATGCTGTCCCAAGTGAGATGCCAGGTAATAACCCACACTTAATGAAGGAGATTTATGCTCTTACGAACTATGCAATGCAAGTGCTTTGGTGAACTCCTTAGGAAGTGAGGGAAAGAAGAGGAGGGTAAAGATTCTTAGGGATTGTAGCACTGTCCCATAGGCCAAAAATGTCAAAAGTGTTTGGGAGCTGTTAATCCCTAAATGATTTTTGGGTTACCTCTTCGGGGCGGGGGGGGGATGTTAGAACAGCAAAAAGCCCCATAAAAAGAAGGAAGGAAAGAAAGTACATGAATTTGTCAGAAAAAAGTGATGGAGAGATACAGGAGTGTTGGAGGGGAGGGAGTGGGTGTGGATTTGATCAAAACACCTTATATGCATCTATAAAATTCTCAACACATTTTTAAGTTGAAAAAAAAAAACCCAATAATATTAGCCCTGCTTTTCCTAAGCCTTCCAAGAGTGCAGCCAGTTATAGGACAGAAATTATGCCCAAGATTTACATGTGAATGTTATGAAATGGACTCAGTAGCTGGAAGGATGTATGCCCAATGGCAGTGATTATCATAATCCTACCTACTGAATGCTTCCCAATCCTGTTCCCAACCCCTCTCAAAGGCCCAGACTCCTCAGGAACTGGGAACCTATGGCTGTCACCTTCTCTGTTCTCATCAGACCCCTGTGACCAGTGGGGCATTTCTGCTCTGGCAGTTGGGAAACTGTGATAGAGAAAATTGAAATAAATAAGTGAAGCAATACTCACACAAACTAATTTTCTTTAGAAAGAGATGGGTCGGTGTAGCTGTGGGGCAGCTGCCTCGCAGTGAAGGGCTTTAATCAGGGCAAACTTGTGATGAACAGGCTAATTGGAGATGATTAAGGCTAAACGATTGTGGAAGACCAGGATGATCGTTAATTGCTGAAGCTGGAATAGATAATTTAGGATGGTAACATTGAACTGTTGTCATGAATTACCTGGAATTTTTTTTGTTAAGAGTAACACTGAAGTCTAGTGTCAGACACAAAGGGAATGCCCTGCACTCAGTAGCCTGATCTTGATGATTCTATGGCTTTCTATAACAGAAAGAAGTATTCTTAATTCCTGTATAACTTATTTAAAACATATATTACTATACTGAATTGTATTTACTAAACTGACCTCCAGTCACACAAGCTTAAACCTATTTTAGATATAGTAAAAGACTTAGTAACTTACTTTGTATGTTGAGCCTCTTTAGCTCTAATCATAGTTTTACTTAGAAGCTGAGAAGTGGCTCACACAAGAGCTCTAATTATGAAAAACAGCATATAAAGTTGGTTTTGAATTTTGTCTTTGTTTATAGAAATTTATAATTAAGGAATTGCAAACATATGAAAGTATCCATGTAGCACTGGAAAGTCAGTTCATAGTCTGTTCCCAATAATCTTCAGATACTTTTAACAATTAAAAAATTGAAGTCTGCCTCCAATTGTTAACCCTGGAATTATGATAATACCAATTACTGCTCTTGAACTTATTTCCAGTATAATAAAAAATTACCTCTAATCTTCATATGTGAAAAGCAGTGGCTTTTAAAAAAATTGGATCCATATCATAATATGGATAAAATCGAGTAATAGTTAATTTTGTTAAGTATAACATCAGTATACAATCTGTCATAAAAATATAGCTTAATTGGGCTAGTGAAAAGATCCAGTGGATAAAGGTGTTTGCCACCAAGACTGATGACCTGAGTTCAGTCCCTGGAGCCCACATGGTAGAAGGAAAGGATTGACTCCCACAAGTTGTTTTCTGATCTCCACCTAAGTGTGGGGCATGCACAATCTCCATCACAATAAATCAATGTTTAAAAAAAACAGCTTAAGTTTCATTAAGCGAGCACACTAGCAAAGCCATCCTCACTAAGAAACAGCCTTCCGCCCCACCCAGAGGCTTCCTTCACACCCCTCAGTCTTAACAGCCCTTCTGCAAAAGGCAACCAATGGTGATTATACTTATTTTTAGAATAAAGTGTTTTAATATTTCAAAGAGTTTTTAATTGTTTAGATTTGGTGGTATTTTGTGTATTGTTGCTAAAATTAACATTGAATACTTTTTCATACTAAAAATTGCTTCTATTTTAGAAAATCGAGGAAAACTATGTAGATTGACAGCTGAATTGTTAGAATATTGCAGTGCTCAGAAAGGGCAACCATCCTACAGACCAAAAATTGGAGATGCATGCTGTGCCAAATACACAAGTAAGGTTTTTTAATTAAAATATTATAGGGAAAATATTAGTCTAGTATCTTTTATGTGAGATCATGTAGATCTGGATTTTTAGATGCATATTTAATTTGGCTAGAGAAATTAAGAAAAGCAGAGTTATGACTTTGATTCACATGTTGAGCTCATCAGCTTTCCCATTTGATGTACATTATCTTTAGGCAAAGGTTTAAGTTGATTTATGCAAATTTCTCAGTACTCTTAGATAATAGGCTCTGGATATCCATGCTGTGGATATGGAGTTATGGTGGCTTACTAATGCAGAATGATTCAGTCTTCCATATTTATGGAGCGCTGCATGTTGGTGGACAAAAGAGACTGCCTCCGGGAGTCGTACTGTTGATCCTCTAACCATTCTTCTGTTTAATATTTCATGTCAACAAGTTGCCTTGCTAATACAAATAACCTCTGCAGTGAATGTTCTGGTGTGCTGCTGGGAGTAGAGCCAGATGGCACAGTATGGGGGTATGGGTAAGCATGGCTTCTGCTTGTCTTTGGGCAGTGGGGCTGGTGGCCAAATGGCAGCCAAGCAGGATTAGAACTGAGTACCGAGGGAAACAATAGTCAATAGACAGGACAAGGGTTGTTGAAGGTCTTTCACTGGGCTAAGGGGTGCTCTCCAACTTTCAAAACTACCTGCCTGAATCCCAGAGCACTCACACAGGCACCGTTGTCCTTAAATGCCCACCAGATCATTATGGAGAATGGTGGGCACAAGCTGGGGACCTCCTGCCATTATCTTAGTGATGTCAGTCCCGTTTTGCTGTATTTTTGTATGACATCTGGATCAGCAGTTGCCCTAATTTTCAAAATTGGCAGTGGAGGTTAAGGTGTGAGCTGGATTAAATAAGACCTGTGTGTTACTTTGAGGCGCTCAGACACCCTGCTCACAGCTGCTTCTGCAGCGTGCTTGGCTCTGTTGTTCTCTTGGGCAGCTATTGTCCACAGTTCTCCACATTGGCGTAATCCCTTCAGTGAGTTCTGTGTCTACTTCATTAACTTTTTTTTTTTTTTTTGGTCTTTTTGAGATGGGGTCTCCCTGTAGCCACAGCTGGCCTCCAACTCACAGAGATCTGCCTGCCTCTGCCTCCTGAGTGCTGGGATTAAAGGCGTGTGCCACCATGCCTAGCTCTGCTTCATTAACTTTCATTGTAGTTTTAGCCTTTGAAGCTGCTCCTATCCAGACCTTGAGTCCTCCTGACCTGAATTGTCCTCATGTTTTTCCTACACACTCATGCTGAGGACTGTTTCTGTGGGGCTCCCTCCCTCCCCCTGTGTTTTCACCTTCCTTCCCTTTGGATTTACTCCAGTGTCTAGATGTATCCTGTCTTTCCAAAGTTGAGGAAAGGTGCTGAATGGAAGATAAATTTCCTGTTAGCTCCTGTATTTGAAAAAGCCTATCCTAGATGTTAACTGATAGCTTGCCTGGATGTAAAAGGTAGACTGGAAGGCATTTTTCCTTAGAAATGTGAAGGCATTCATTGCTTTTATTGTGGTGGGGGTTTTTTGTGGGTTTTTTTTTTTTTTTTTTTTTTTTTTTTTTTTGCTTTTTGAGACAGGGTCTCCCTGTAGCCCCAGCTGGCCTGGATTTGCTATGGATACCAGACTGACCTTGAACTTCCAGAGATCCACCTGCCTCTGCCTCCCGAGTGCTGGGATTAAAGGTGTGCACCACCACGCCTGGCTATTTTTATTGTGTTTTAACTGTTGTTTCTGGTCAAAAGTTAGACATCTTTCCAGGTTCTCTATCTTTTATCTTTTTGGAATCTTTAGTGCCCTATTCCTGTGTTCTGAAAATTGCAATGTGACTTAGCATGCTGGCTTGTGTGTCTGGAAATACACATGAGCTTCAGGTTCAAGAAATTTCCCTGTATTGATTCTTTATTTCCTCCTTTGTTTTCTTTAGGAATTACTAGTTCTTCTAATTTTGGTCTTGAACCCTTGTGCTGATTTGTTGACTTTCATCTTTGTTCTTTATTTCAAAAGATTTCTCCATTTCATCTCCTAAGTATTCTGGTATCACACTTTTAGCTTCAATACCTCTTTAGTTTTTGGGGTATAGGTGTGTTTGAACACTGGCCTGTTCTTGTTTCCGGGATGGAATGTCATGTCTCCAAGAATACGCAGTCTTCCTTTGAATGCTTACTGTCTTCTTCCTTCTCATCTTCTGGACTCTTACCCCCCGCCCCCTGCCCCAGTTTTTATTTTGTTTCGTCTTCCCTGTTTTGTAAGATGCGATGCCCAGTTGTTTGGGATCTTCTGTGTAGCAGAGCTGCTCACCAGTTGCTTTCAGTGCAGGTTTGGTCGGCTCTGCTATTTGCTGTGCTCAGTGCACATCTGGAAGTGCTGTCATGTGTAGCATTATCTCCTGCATGGAGTATGCATTTTGCTTGATAGTGTCCTTGGTAAATTTCCCCTCTGCTCAGCCTCACATTCCTCAGTCCATGGTTCCTCTGGAGAAGGAACCTCTGTGAACATGAAGCTGACCATTATTTTAGCAACTTTAAAAAATAGGTATTATGGAGCTGGAGAGATGGCTCAGTGGTTAAGAGCACTGGCTGCTCTTGCAGAGGACCCAGGTTCGATTCCCAGCACCCAAATGGTGGCTAACAACCGCCTATAACTCCAGTTCCAGGAGATCCAATGCCATCTTCTGATCTCCACAGATATTGCATGACATGGGTTTACCTACCTACATGCAGGCAATGCACTCGGACACATAAAAGCGAAATGATAAGTAAGATATTTAAAAAGTAGATATTATATGTCAATGTGTTTATAAACTAAAGTCTTCTCAAATGTCTTGGAGTAGTGAATTCCTTTGCCCAGGCCTCATGTCCCCTTTACACCTGGGGTCTGTGGTCCAAGGAACAAATTGGTTGCTGCTTGGCTTCCCCACTGTCTGCTTTGGTTGAGCAGCTGTGGCTGTAGCACCATTTTCATTTGCTTATCTGCCTTCATCCTCCCAGGAACAGTGCTTGTCTCTCTTGTTCATTGTCCTTATAGTTAAAAAATTGTATTGTCTTTTTAGAGTGATTTGGAAGGAAAATAGAAAAATCTGGATTCTAACCAGAAAACTTGGTATGAGTTTTTGAGTGTCAAGCATGTTAAGGAAGGGGAGGGCTCATGGACTGTGACTTCTCTGCTGATAATCCTTTGTTTCTAGGTGATGACTTCTGGTACCGGGCCATTGTTCTGGACACATCAGACTCTGATGTGAAAGTGCTCTATGCAGATTATGGGAACATTGAAACTCTACCTCTCTCCAGAGTGCAGCCCATTTCTGCCAGCCACCTGGAGCTGCCCTTCCAGATTATTAAATGCTCACTTGAAGGTAGACTGTTCATTCACTTTCCAATTGTGATGTCTCTGTATTTTTTAAGTTCATAGTTATAAGTCTGAATCCAGTGAGTTAAATCAAGTTGTTACCAGTGATCAGGGTCTGGTCTTAGTGTTTCCAGGTTCTTGGCCTCTTATCCAAAGAATTGAAAAATAAGGGCTCTCACAAATTTGTAAAAGAAGCAAGGTAACTTTATTTGGAGCAAAGTGATAGTGCAGGTTGTGGAGGGATACACTGTCAAGATTGACAGCAGGCCATATGAGTTGAGGGTACTCAAGGGCCTGACTATTGTTCCAGGCTTCCTTTTATGGGGCTCAAGGTAAGGAAGTGGTTACTAGATTAGGTGGTTCTCTGTTTGAATGATAGGTTAGAATCATTTCTCTGTTGTGCATTTCCCTTCCCACAGTGCATCTGATTTTAATCATATGCACACTCAATTATGCATAGGCATAAAATGGTAAATAGATTTTCCGTAGAAGTGGCTAAAGGACACAATTTTGCCTTGTTTGGCATGCATGCACCCAGCACCGGTTGAGGACAGATGGGTCCTTCTCTTCCTTGTGCTCATTCGTTGGTAATACACTTGAATAGAAACTGTCTAAATTTGATTGTTACCTGGGGTAGGGAAACTCATACCGTTGCTCGAAGATGGGAGAATGGGTAGCCAGTGTGCATGGGTGGGGGCTTGAGAGGGTTTTGAAGTTGCTAGAGGCATTGTTTGGAGAGGGGTGTTTGTGCATAGTTACATGTAGGTAAAGGATCTAGGCTGCCAAGTGCATTTTTACAAAAGTGCATTTTTACAAGAGTTGTGTACATAACTCAGAATGAAATGAGAGTCCCAAGCTACACTGCCTCCCATGCCTGCCTTAGAGTGACTTCTCGGGCTTCTAAACACCCAAGTTTTTAAAGAAATTTTGTATCCTTTTTCTTTTTTTAAAAAAGTGTTTCATTTTTATTTTATGTGTATGGGTGTATTGCCTGGATGTATATAAGTACACCCATGCCATGAAATGCCCACGGAGGTCAGAGGAGAGTATTGGATCCCCTGGAGCTGGAGTTAGGGATGGTCATTGGCCACCATGTGAATGCTGAGAACTGAACCGAACCCCAACCCTCTGCAGGAGCAACCAGTGCTCTTCACCACTGAGCCAGCTCTCCAGCCATATTCCTTAGCTCTCATGAAAACTATAGTTACTTAGTCTTTATTTGGGGGCTAGTCAGAGTGACAAGGTTTGGAGATTGTGTTTTCCCCATTGGAAAGCTCCAGTGGCAAGGGCCAGAGGCAGGATGTAAACGTCTGCACTCTCACCAGGGCTTGCTCTTTAGGGACTAGAGGCATGCACACATGCACATATCATTTGTGGCTTCCTTGTGGTGCCTACTAAAGCAACACGTGTTTAACTGTTCACTTGGAACCTGAAGAGAGGGGATTAAAATGCTCCAGGTCACCTTGTGCTATGACTGCACTCCTCACATGGCTCCCCGTCCCCCATGGTTTCCACTGACTGCTCATAGCATATGTGGCTTCCACTTAGAGTCAGAAACTTAACTTTATTGTTTGCTTTTCCCATTAGAATATTAAGGGAAGATGTTGTGTCTGTTTTCTGCCCTGAAACTGCTTGATACCTTACAACACACCTAAAACCAGCTAGAGCCGATAAACCTGCTTATTATCCTTATTAGGATGGTTTGTCCAAATATTATCTTTTTTTAAAGGAATTTAAACAGTATAAAAACATAACATTTAGAAAGTATTGAGTTATAATTATAACTAAGGTAGCACTTGTCCTAAAACCCCACAATTTAAAAAGAAACCGTGAGGATGAAAACTGATGTACATTAATGGTATTTAGCTTAGAATTCAACACTCCTTCCGAGTGTTATTAGTTATTAGATAGTTTATCTAAATATAATCTTTTAAAAAAGGAATTTGAAAACTTAACCATAATCTTTAATTTTCTTTACAGGGCTGATGGAATTGAATGGAAGCTGTTCTCGGTTTATGATAGAGCTACTTAAAAACTTCATGTTGAATCAGAATGTAATGCTTTCTGTGAAAGGAGTTCATAAGAATATTCACACGGTGTCAGTTGAGAAATGTTCCGAGAACGGTACTATCAGTATAGCTGATAAGCTGGTGATGTGTGGTCTGGCAGAAAACATCACATCTAAAGGGAAAAGTGCTGTAACTAAAGGTACCGTTTTCAGGTTTAGTTAAGAGCAGGTGTAGATGTACTGAGTAGTAGAGCTGGTGCTTGAGTTGCCTCATCTCCTCAGGCCCTGTGGCTACAGTCCCCTGCGCCCATGCTTCTTCCTCTGTGCACTTGTGGCTCAGATTCTCCTTGCCATCTCTTGGCTCCTGTTGAGAAGAGCAGCCCTCCCATACCAGGTATCCCAGAGGTCAGTTTGTCAGCATTGCTTTGGGAATCAAAACCTAGAGCTTGAGAAATATTTAGCATTCAGCCTGTACCTTTCTGCCAGTTCCCCTTTGATCCTGATCAAAAAGAGAAGAATTCATATTTTTGAGATTGAATCATCTCGGTATTTCATACATAAGGTGTGCATTTGGCAGACTGAAAAGAGGTTCTATGCATAATTCAGATGTGAGTACTAATTTGTAAAAATCTGAGACATAGTAGACTACAGTCTCTGGGTAGATTATATTCTGTGTGGGTGAAACCCAGACACAGAGACAGATAAAGTATGTGTTCAGGTCTGAGGCTGCTTGTTTTTACATTGTTACCTAATGACTTTTTTTTTTTTTGCTTTGCTTTTAGAAACAACTCATAGCATGAATTGCTGCTGCACAGAGCTAAAAAAACAGGTGGATACAATTTCCTTTAAGTGAAACTACACTCCTAAAGTTTGAGGACATAAATAATACTATTTCTCTTTCATGTATAGATTGAAAAGCATGAACAGATTCTTCTCTTCCTCTTAAACAATCCAACCAACCAAAATAAATTTATTGAAATGAAAAAGCTGTTAAGAAGCTAAGTAAGTTAAGTTTCCTGTTTTGCCACTTTTGTGATTGCCAGTAGGATGCCTCACCCATGCGTCAGGCTGGAGCTGTGGGGTGGCACCATTATAAGGCTGTGCTATAGTTTGAGATGTTATGTTTGGGTTTGATTGTGATTTTCATAACATTCCTGATGAGTCTGAACCCAGAGCTCCATGTGCCTTTCCTTACTGTTAGCTTTTGAGGACACTTGAGTTATTGGTATGTGGAAGAATTTGTAAGGATTGTTGTGTGGTGAAGCTTAGCCTCAAATTTGTGTCCAGATTCGAAATCCTCTCAGTTCTCACTTGTGTACTTTGCTACAAGTTTGGTACTTGCTTTTTGGGCAAGGACCTAAAAGGTCTAGAAGGGAAAGTAGGTACAGGATCACCAGATTTCATTGCAAAATGAAACAGGTAGTGTGGTGAGTCCAGTATTTAAAGAACATATTGATGACCCTACATCAGTAATTACTACTTTTCTTTTTTTAAACTTTGGGATCCTGCGTCCTTAGAGGGTCATAAGAAATTGTTCTATGGTCAGTAGCCAGTTAGAACTTATGATCAAAATGATTGTCCTCCTTACTACTTTGAATTGATATAATTTTTTTTTTTGGTCTTTTTGAATCAGGGTCTCTCTGTAGCCCCAGCTGTCCCAGAACTCACTACGTAGACCAGGCTGGCCTTGAACTCACAGAGATCTGCCTGCCTCTGCTTCCCAAGTGCTGGGACTACAGGCGTGCACCACCACACCCAGCTTGAATTGATATAATTTTAACCAGAAGCACATGATGATTGATTTATTTCCTCTGTGTGTTTTCGCCTAAGTGCAGTGTCCTTTGGAGCTAGCTCAGGTAGCTGTGGGATTCTCTTATGGGTGTGTACTCTCAGGTGGGAACTAGAAGTGCTAAAATGTATTTTCTTTTGGTTATCTACTGTTATGTTTGTTCCTTGGAAGGAGTGTTGAGTTCTAAGCTAAATACCATTAATGCACAATCAGTTTTCATCTTACAGTTTTTCTTTATAAGTTTTGGGGTTTTACGGTAAGTGCTACCTTAGTTGCAATTAGAATTTAGAACTCAATCCTTTATAAAATGTTAGTTTTTTCATACTCGTTTTTTTTTTTTTTGTGCTTGAGTTTAAGGTCTTAAGCTTAATGGTGATTTTTAACCTCATAAAGAAACTTGCAGTGACATGAGCTTCTGGAATTAGTCTAGCATCAAATTGTCACCTTTTAATCAAGTTGTTAAACTCGTTTGCACTTCTATTAATCTGTGCACTAAGGTTTTTCCATAGGATATTGAGAGTGCTTATACACACAGCTTAAGGTAAAACTAGTGTTTCCTGTTGTTTCTAGATAGACAGGGCCTAGTACCTTAAAAGCTTGACGTAAAACATAAACCAGCTTTCTCCCTCTGTGGGAATAAATGCCCAACTTTTTCTGCATCTCTGTACAACATGACACTTCGTACTTGGCAGTGCCTTATTTACAAAGTGCTTTAATGAGTGTTTATGGCAGTTTTTTAGCCACAATCTTCACAACACCCTTAAAGGATGTAGAGCCCTGGGTTGGGCAATAACACAATCAACAAAGTGTTTGGCAAGAGGACCTTAGTTTTATCCCAAGAAACCACATAAAAGCCAGGTGTGGGGGTGCACACTTTTCTAATTACAGCACTGGGGAGGCAGAGACATGCAGATCTGTGGGGCTTAATGACTAGCCTAACAGCTATGTTGAGTTCTAGGCCAATGAGAGATTCTGTCTCAATAGTGCCTGAGGAACAACACCACAGCCTGCCCACTGGCCTTTGCACTTATGTGCACACATGCATGTCTACCCACACATTTACCTGCACACACTTGTGCACCCCCACACATGAACTCATACAAAAGGAAAGTATAGCTCATTTATAGATGAGGACTGTCCACACATATGTGTACTGCAAACTAGGTCTTAACAACTTAAAGCTGCTATGTGTTTGCTGGGTTATAGCATCTTTCTAGATGAGGCCTGATCTAGAGGGCATGAAATTAGGAGGTAATGTAGAAAACATTATACACATGATTGCCCAAGCATACTTTTCTCATTGTGGTGAAAAATACAATTGGAAATTTAGTCTCACATTTAAATTAATCTTCCTACAGACATAGAAAATATGTTTAAAATTTTGTCTTAGCCAGGTGTGGCACATACCTTTAATTCAAGCAAATGGGAGGCAGAGACAGGCAGATCTCTGTGAGATTGAGACCAGCCTGGTCTGTGTAGTGAGTTCAGGCCAGCTGAGGCTCCAGGGAGACCCTGTCTGGAAAAAAAAAAAGACAAAAAAATTTTTAAATCTTGTATAATCGCTGAAGGAATTGTTTGGTTAATAATTATGATCCAGGTATGCCTACAATTTCAGTCCTTGGGGAACTAAGGCAGGAGAATTGTTAATTTGAGGCCAGCCTGGGCTACATAGCACAGTCCAGGCCATCTTGAACTATCTACAAAACCCTGTCTGAAGAACCCAAGTGATAATATTACAGATATAATTAAAATTACTGAATTACACATCCCCAAAATAGGAATGCTCTTGTAATAACATGAATCCTGTATAATTCATTTCTGAAAAGAATAGTTAATATCAGTCTTTTTGTATTTGAAGAGGGTACCAATAATTGCATTTTATATTCATGAAGGAGAGTATGAATAGTTCTAATTAATATAAACATCAGTGAAAATTAACCATCACTGTTTTTGTGGTGTTTAACTCATGAACAGATGAATACAACCTAAATATATAATTTCACTTAAGAATAGCATTTGGTTTGCTTGTACTTAAGATTGAAATTAAGAACTACACTGATTTTTTTTCTTATATAAAGCACAATTACGATTTTTCTTTCTCTTTCAGAAACAGTGTCTCTTGGACATAAATACAAGGAAGGAAACAGCAAAAGCTAGACTTAAAGTATTGTGTCTGTGTTTTTGTATATTGGAACCTTTTCTTCCTCTACTTTTTCTTTGGTGACCTCTATTTTTACTTGCTTACCTTTGTTCTATTAGGTTGGTTGGCTTTTTTTCCCCTTATCGAAGTTCTTCCCAAGAAATAAATGAATCAGTCTTGCATAAGAGATTCATGTAATAGCCAGGCATGGTGGTATATACCTGTAATCCCAGCTATGAGGAGGAGGACGGAGGCAAGAAGATCTGGAGTTGAAGGCCAGCCCAGGGTTCATAGTTAGATGCTTGCTCCTAGAACAAAAAACAAGATTCAAAATTCATGAGACTACTAGGGAAGGGATGGGTCTGTAGGAGCTTTCTGCTATAGGTGTCTTTTTGTTTGTTTTGCTATACAGAGGATGGAACCCAGAGCCTCATGTGTGCTAGGCAAGCACTCTACCTTTGAGCTCTATTTCCAACTGTATACTGCTTCCTACTTAAAAGTGCTGAAGAAAATGTCTCTATGTTAAACTGGTTGAATCAAGTTCACAGATACATGAGATTTATTATTGTCTGTGCATTTGAAACACTTGCTTATAGAATGCTTCTTGTCATCTGCCTCTTTCACCTAATAAATGTTCTGTGGTTTCTTTGCTCCTGGGTTACTTGCTCTTCTGTGGTCCACTGCGAGGACATCAGCTGCTTTCCCCATCCTTGCTTGGATTGCTTTGCCTTTGGCCATGGAATGTGTCCTTGAGCTCTAGCCACTCCAGTGGGAGACTTTCTGTTCCTTCCATGTGCCTGAGACTTTCTGTGGCTTCCATGTGCCCTTCTGAGTCTGTAGACATTCAGACATCTCAGAATAATTTGCTATTTTCTGAAACACAAATATAGTTAGAATTTCACTTTAAAAACTGAGCGTACATATATTTTCAGCACGTAATCGCGGATTTTTCTAAACTCACCCATGTGCAGAATTAGGGACCAGCTGATTTTTCTGCTGGCCCCATAGTTTCTGTTGGAATTTTCCTGTGATTTATCAGTCTGTGACAGCCTAAAATATTGTCCAACTTAGTTGATAGTTAAAAGGCTGGTGTGAATGGGATTTTTGTTTTTACTTCCAGTGGCAGTGTGCCGTCTGTTCTGTTGCATACAATTGCGCATGTAGAAAGCTGCTGATGTACCTCTACTTAGAAAAGTTTATGCTGTTTTGCCCAACAAAGTCTTTCACTTGTCCTCCAGCTTCCCCTCCTTGGCTTGCTGCTGGCCACTGGCGAGTGTCCTTGTCCTCACCCATGAGTGTGTTCATCCCATTTGCTCCACTGAAACGTATGGAAATGCAGACGGCAGCCATGGTGCCACAAGATTGGCCTTTCTGTTAAAAGCCAGGGAGCCATTCAGAGAATCCTGAATCATGAGTCAGATTTCATTTCTTCCAATTCCATATGGCACTGGAAATTTGGATAGAAACCATTTTAATGAATTGGAGTTTCACATTTGGTGAATCCACTGTTTACCTTGTTTTGAAAAAGGGACATTACCTGTCATGCCAGCCTCACAGGTAGAAGTCAGCAGTAAATGTCTTCTTGGATTGATTCATATCGGGGCTTTGGATTTTATTTCTAAGCTTATTAAGATGTTTGTCAGCTCTGTTTCATTCAACAAATGTTTCTTGAACTCCATCATTGTGCTTTGTATGGTGATAAGTGTCGATTGTTGAGCAAGGCCACAGGACCCGGTTCTAGCCAGGGTTTTGGGTCCCCTCAACAATATCAAGTTTGGTTGTAGATGAGTGCACTAAAGCCAACACCATGTATCCATCAAGCAGGTGGAGTCCTGGGTAGAGGCTCATGAGTATCATGATGCTATATCTAGTTTCTAGGGAAGCCATCTGAGTGGATGGAGTCTCAGGAGCAGCCTCTCTGTGCATTTTGCTTTGAGAGTATTCTTTTGTTGCATTTGTTTAAAAGCACCAAAGTCTCAAAACTGAATGGAAGTGATTAATTTTCTGAAATTGTGTTCTTTTGTACATAATGAAACTAGCACAAGCAGATCCTTACCAGCAGGATCCCACACT